GTATATTTATAGTTTTGATGACATTCTAACTGAGCATGCCTAAGTCATTATTATTAACCACTGTTAATTGTGTAAAGATTTGCTTTGAGAAAGGAGCCAGGAATAAGGAACTGGGAAAAAGAAACCAACTGGGGCCTCATGAACAAAAATGTGTCTGAGGGGGCTTCTTTTCTATTTCATCCAGGACCTGCACAAGACCAACTGCAGATGCTTCCTCAGGCTGACAAGGGTGTTTGTACTCAAAAGCTTGCAAACAAGAATTTTTCCAACTATTTTAGTTGGTCTATTAAAAAATACTGGATTTACCCAAAGAACCTTGTCTGCCTCTGAGGGGAAAATGGCACTTTTAAAGGCAAGATGGGAACAATCAGTAGAGCCCTGGAGAGTTTCCTTCTTTGCCCCCCCATTTTTTAAGCCTGGACAAGCTCCCTTCACATCTTGTTTAGCCTCCCATTTCAAGTCTCCCCAAGAGCAAGACCTTAGGAGGAAGACCCCTACAGGGTGGAACCTCTTCATCCCGCTGGAGGAAGTCTTCCCCTGTCTTTGCAGCTGTAAGGGCTCCAGGCTCCTCTCTACAGCCAGCCACACCAAACTACCTTAAAAAAAATACCAGCAGCTTCCTGAGCTGGGGAAACTTTCCCCACCTGCTATTGTGGCTCCCCCAAAATAATTTCTCATTATTCTAATTTATACTTAATATTTTTTTACTACATCTGGCAGACTAACTACAGTAGGCACAGTGTGCACCCTTGGAAAGTCCAAGTAATTCACTGAAGTAGGCAGAGTTAATCTGGATGTGTGTAGTGCTGACAGCAGAATTTCACACAAGGACCGACTTCTCCGCCTTCTAAAGCAGCCTAGCCACAATGGCTTCGGTGCCAGTTGATGCCAGCCAAGTATTGAACTAGTGGTTCTTTTTGTAAATTAAGCTTTTTATGACCTCGTGATCAATCTCAGTAGCAGAGATAGTGGAGACTATTTCTTGCATTTGCATCTGTGCCATGTAAAAATGCATGGCAGATGCACAAAAACTGAAGTTCCATCAGGCACCTGTTCATCCAGTGTTTGTCAGTACACATGCTTAAAATTAATAGCTCACTTATTTTGTAACTTGTTTGATCACTCATTCACACATGCACTTTCCTATATAAGTATCAAAGAAGCTCTTTTTTCACAATACTCAGGTATTCTTCCTGCTCGCATTCTCCTACTTTTCTATTTCCTAATTGGAAATCACCAATTTGAAATCAGTTCCTGACTGATTTGAAGACTTACTATTCCTAGATGCAGTTTCTCTTTCATCTAGTACCCTAAAACATGTCCTGCCCTTTACAGGTGAAATGTATTCAGGTGTTAATTGCCCATGCAAAACCCTCTTTTGCAGTTAGGCCAGGTATCAGCCATCTATATGAGAGAGTCACAGGCAGAAAGATGCATCCAATGCATGGGATGGAGGCTGTGCCAGCCCTGAGTAAGTAGGCTCAAAGGAACAGGGTTGGAAATGCCTAGCAC